ATGTTTAATCGGTCCTAATTGACCATTGCATCTAAAATTAGGTGTATATTAAGGGTGAATACATAATAAGATATCTTTCTGTTTATATAACGAATATTTACTAAATGGCGGCTATACAATAAATTGAATTGAAATTGGAAAAAAAAAATTGCTTCAGCCAAACTCATGGTCAATACAGGTTAAAACACAAAAACGTAGTCCATTAAAAAGGAGAAACTGGCGTGCTGTATCTTCCACTATATTCCACTTTGATCTAAAGCCCTTTACAGTTTGCCTCGATGGGCGACCGTGCACGGAGCCCTGGACCCCGTTTGTCGTTCAGTGTGAGCTTCGAGGACTTCCACGACCCCAGCCGTTGGAGACATAAGTGCTTCTGTGAATACGTGCGTTGTGGTAAGCCTGCACACTTTTCCAGGTGTTCCAGATGCCTGAAGGAAATTTTCTGTCCCCTTGGTTTGCTCAGTTGGAGTTTCTGCCCCTCCCCACTGAAGTCTGTTTTTGCTTCCAGGAGAGAGTCAGTGTGACGAGGCGCACCTGTAACAACGGAGGACCTGCTAGACCGAAGGAGATGCCTTCAGGTGTGCTGTGTGCCGCCGCTGGGAAAGGAAGCCACCCTGTAAATCGGTCAGTATGACGGCGGGTTATTTCTTTAAAAACAGTGTATACGTGTCAGTTTGGCGGCTAACGGTCGGTTTGTTGTCTCACAGCAAAGAAACAGCCAGCTGTCTGCCGAGCTCCCTGCGAGAAACGGTGGAACCTGTGTGGTGGACCGGGGACTCCTTCAGCTGCGTCTGTAAGGAGGCCTGGTGAGGGCGCAAACCTGCAGCCACCCAGTGAGTCACCTGCCACTAACACGTTAGAGACCCAACTGGAGTCGCGTCATGGAGGATTTCAGTCCGCATGTATTTAAGCTTGTTACTGAATTGTAGGGGCTGTCCCGACCTAAAGATGTTTTCCAGTCGACTTTAGTAGTTGTCTAGATAAAGCCAATAGTTGAGTATGTGTCAATTTATATTTCGTTGTTAATTTATGATATTAATTGAATTATTGAATCATTTGGAATCTGTAAATCTGAAGGCGACCTGCTGGGGCGAAATTCGCAGCCCGTCTTTGTATGGACATTGCAAGAAATAATCTCATCATGCGGAAAAAATGTCTTCCCTTTCTTACATTTTCTTTTCTTTTCCAGATGCCAACGAACTGCAGTTCTCATCCCTGGTGAAGTCTCATTCACACACACACACACACACAGCACACACACAACACCCACACACACCACACACACACAAGACAGGTCCTCTCTTTACCTCCACAAAATCCAGTATTGCTGACATTTTTCCAAGGCTCAAGCATTCAAAAATCCTCTAGTTCAGAGCAATAAGTTTTGCTTTTTAAGTGATAAACCGTCAAGAGCTACATTAAATTCTCCTTTTTGGCCGCCTCCTTCGTCAACTTTTCCTTTCACTGAATCGAATCTGGAATAAAACCACTCGGCCGCTGCCAGTTTCACTTTTTATCTCCCACCCGTCTCTTCAAGCCACAGAGTCAGAGACTGCTCGTATCTCTGAAACACACTGATCAGAAAACTCAAATATTTCCTGCCTATAATTAAGATTAGGGTCAGGCTAGAGGCTCCAGCTCAGTGAGATCAGGGTTATTGATTATCAGCTGAATTCAGATTGTTTTTGTCCTTACGGGACGAGCTGCTGTAGTTTTTGCACACAGTGTTAAACATCATTCTCTGTGCTGCAGTTATAACAGCGGGACTTGTGTCGATGGAGACAACTGGTATCGATGTGAATGTGCTCCGGGGTTCGCCGGCCCTGACTGCAGGATTAGTGAGTATTGACCTTTGACTCCGCTCTGTCT